CTTTGTAGCAAGGAGGGGTGTCTTTCGAGAGAGAGAGAGAGAGTTCATAAGCCAAGGAAACAGTGGGAGGCAAATTGACCTTGAAGAAATTCAAGAGTCAAGTGGTGAAGGAACCTCAAACCCTAGCAGTCAACTTGAGGAGGAAACTCCTGTTGATCCAATTGACGAATCTGTACCTCTGAGGCGTTCCACAAGGGTTAGGAATGCACCTGAGCACTACTATGGTTTCCATATTACTGCGGAAGGTGAGACACTTATCAGTGATGAGACACTGGTAAGTCTAGATGAACCTAACAGCTATGCGGAAGCCATGGCAGGCCCCGAGTCTGCTAAATGGAAAGAGGCAATGGACAGCGAGATACAGTCCATGTATGACAATCAAGTTTGGAACTTGGTTGACAATGTACCAGGTCGTAAGACAGTTGGGTGCAAATGGATCTTCAAGAAGAAGACCGACATGGATGGTAATGTACACACTATAAGGCGCGACTGGTTGCAAAGGGCTTTTCTCAAACTCCGGGAGTTGATTATGATGAGACCTTTTCACCAGTAGCCAAGATTAAGTCTATTAGGGTATTGTTAGCCATTGCTGCATTTCATGACTATGAAATATGGCAAATGGATGTCAAAACCGCTTTCCTCAATGGAAATTTGGCTGAGGATGTTTACATGAATCAGCCAGAGGGTTTTGTCAGCACAGAGTACCCTAATAGAGTGTGTAAGCTTGAGAAATCCATATATGGATTAAAGTAAGCACCTCGCAGATGGAATCTTTGCTTTGATGAGAAAGTCAAAGAGTTTGGCTTTTCGAGGAGTGAAGATGAATCTTGTGTATATGTCAAGGCTAGTGGGAGTATAGTTAGCTTTTTGGTATTGTATGTGGATGACATACTACTCATAGGAAATGACATCCCAACCTTGCAGGAAGTGAAGTCCTGGCTTAGGAAGTGTTTCGCTATGAAGGACCTGGGAGAAGCTGCCTATATTTTAGGGATAAGGATTCTGAGAGATCGGAGTAAAAGACTAATTGGGCTTAGTCAGAGTACATATTTGGAGAAGGTGCTGAAGAGGTTCAGCATGCAAGATTCCAAGAAAGGAGAGTTACCCATCCAGAATAATGCTAGACTGAGTAAGACTCAGAGCCCGAGTACCGAGGTTGAGATAGCAGAAATGAGTCGAGTACCTTATGCTTCTGCAGTAGGCTCGATCATGTATGCTATGACATGCACTCGTCCTGATGTAGCCTTTGCTTTGAGCATGGTTAGCAGGTATCAGGGGAACCCTGGTAAGGCTCACTGGACAACGGTAAAGAATATTCTCAAGTACCTGCGGAGGACTAAGGACTGGGTCCTTACCCTTGGTGGAAGTGATGACTTGAGAGTTGTAGGGTATAGTGATGCTAGTTTCCAGACTGATAGGGATAATTTCCGCTCTCAGTCGGGCTGGGTCTTTACCTTAAACGGAGGAGCAATCTCTTGGAAAAGTTCCAAGCAGGAGACAGTGGTTGATTCAACTTGCGAATCAGAGTATATAGCGGCAAGCGAGGCAGCAAAGGAGGCTATATGGCTAAAGAACTTCATTGGAGACCTTGGAGTTGTACCAGCTATAAAGGAGCCCATAGATATTTTCTGTGATAGTGAAAGTGCAGTTGCCTTAGCAAAGGAACCAAGGGATCACGGGAGATCCAGACACATTGACAGAAAATACCATTTCATCAGACATCGTATAAAAGAAGGACTCCTCGTGGCAAAGAGGGTATCATCGGATGAGAACCCAGCAGATCCCCTCACGAAGGGACTGGGTAGGGTTAAGCATCTCCAGCATGCAAGGAGCATAGGGCTGAAGGATGATATTAGTTTTAGTAGTTAGATAATTTTGAAATTTGTAAAGTGTAATTGACATTTGATGATGAATAAAAGTTGTGTTTATTTATGAGTAAAGTGTTGCTATCTTTTGTCAATCGTTTACTATTATTTCTTTTGCATGTTTTGACTTCCAGAATATTTATGTTGTGTTTACATATTATTCAAATTATCCACAGTCGGTCATATGTTGGAAGTAGATATGAAGTAAGATTGTCGTGAGTTGGTTGTAGAGGTCTAAGATGTTGGACATGGCCTCAACACTCATGAGTGCTCATAAGTTCTGAGTATTGGATTCAACCCACGCTCGCTGGTATCACTTCATGGAATTTATCTCGAGTGATCGCAAGACTGTAATATCATATAAGTCTTCAAACCTAGAGATATGACTTGTTGTCTATGAGTTGGTTATACATTGATCGTGCGAAAACGCATTGGTAACTCGATGTTATAAAATGTGCTTTTGTGTGTGATTTAAAAGGTAGTAGAACAAGCATATGAGTCGAAGTTTATCTATTCCTTCTTGGATTAGAAGCGATATCTGGGCCCTCGATGATTTTTGTTTTGTCCTATGTACCGGGCCCGGTCAGAACTAAGTTGATGTGTTCAATTAAGTTCTATGTCAAACAAATCGGAAATTGGGAAACAAACTGCTGGACAAAAGTAAGACATTGTTCCATGTATTTGTCCGGCTGATATCTAGAACAGAGGATTATATGATCACTTATCTTAAATGGCGTATCATCATCTTCTCAGTTCCGAGAAACCTTGAAAAGAGCTACGATTGTTGATCGGTTCCTGAAGTCATACATGCAGTTATAGTTATTAGACTTATCCAAGTGGGAGACTGTTGGATAAGGTGTCTAAGTCCATAACTATTTCTGGTATGTACTTGACCCGACCTGGCATGGTCCATTTGGGTTGCATGGCATCATGCATTTGGATAGACTAAATGAGATAAATAACACTTGTGGTTTATTAATATATTATAAGTTCTAATATATTAATAGTATTATTTAAATTAGTATTGATCAAGAATTAATCTAGGATTAATTAAGTGATCAAAAAGAGACTAATTAAATATATGGGTTGATTATGTAAATCATCCATAACTTGTATAGTGGGCTAAAAGGCTCCATGGATTATCAAGTTGGGTTAAACCCATTGGATGCTCCATGGAGGCTCCATGGGAGTTACAAACCCATGGGTCATGGAAATGAAAAGTCATGTCACATTAGGGTTTACATGGTGTAACCCTAGATGTGACACACTATATAATGAACATGATACTCACCAAAATCGGTACACTAAGAACAAGAGAGGGCAAGTCGATTTTTACAAGTGTTATACATTCTCTAAAGTTATTCCAAAGCATTTGGTGTTGTGTGAAACATTTGAGGCATCACACTTGGGGTGCTAGGCTCTCAAGGTTTCCAAGGAATCAAAACAACTACAAGGTATGTAATTCTAGCTATCTTTTATGATTAAAGTTCCCCATGCATGCTAGATAGGTTTCTAAACCTTGGAAAAAGTATTTTGCATGTATTTTAGACAAACATAGATCCAAGGTTTTCTAGGGTTGCATATACACTTAGGAGTGTTAGAATGCTCAAAACCCATCAGTTAGATACCCGCGTGGGGTAGAGTTGTTTGAGTTTGGTGACACTTTTTGAGTGTGAGTAGAGCAGATAGAGTTGTAACCTAGAGTGGTTTTGTGTGCGGGTGGAGATTATTCGATGCATGAATGTTGCTTGCTTCGTGCTTTGTGGAACTCTCGATGATGGGAGTCAACTACTAAGTGAATATGACTCCCATCATCGAGAGTTCCACAAAGGGCCATGTTGACTACTAAGTGGAGATTATTCGATGATGCATGAATGGCCCCACACTCTCGATGATGGGAGTCAACTACTAAGTGGAGATTATTCGATGCATGAATGTTGCTTGCATCATAAGGAGTTCTTCAGCAGCTGATGGCAGAGAAGCGTGAGAACCTAGGAAGAGTCTAGGGAGTAACCTTACTCAGATGAGTACGCTGATAGATTAGAGTATTCACTGGGGAGTGACCAGGTTTAACGGGATTGGTGATCGAGAAAGTTGAGCAGCTACTTAGGAAATTTGGAACAATCCGTGTGGAAAGTATGGGTAGATGTGGCAGGTAGTATGGGCCCGTACTACTGAAAGCAGAGGACCCGTACTCGAAACAGGGAGAGTTCCAGAGGTTCTAAGTAGCAGATTGAGAGGATATAACATGGTTCGGGTACCATGACTTATAGCAGATTGAGAGGAGATAACATGGTTCGGGTACCATGACTTATAGCAGATTGAGAGGAGATAACATGGTTCGGGTACCATGATTTATAGCAGATTGAAAGGAGATAACATGGTTCGAGTACCATGACTCGTGGTAGGTAAGTGCTTCTGGTTTTACCAGTTATCCCGTTGTGATTGATTAGACTGAGATCATATGTGATAGAGTGTGGGGCCAGAGGGCCATGTTGAACGAGTTTCAAGGGAGCATACCGTGAGAGGGAAATCAAGATAGTTTCCGGGAGATTTTTGGTGAGATGCCAATCGGATTCGCAAGACTCAGGGATGAGTAGAGATGGTGCTTTATGGAGGATTACGGTCTGAGTTGAGCAATCGGCCGATAGTGGAGACGTCACTTTCGATGACCAGAGTCGTGCTATTTCATTTTCCTGTTTGAAAAGCAAGAGAGCCATTGAGTTTTCCGTTTCTGAGTTTGAAGGTAAACCTGTGGGGTAGCATTGGTTGCGATCTTTCGTCGGAGTATCTGGGCAGTGGGCACCTCAAGGTAGTATTATAGTAGTGAAAGGATCGAATGGATCAGCATGGAGACTGAGATGGTCAAGGACAAGGATATACCCTATTTTAGTCTAGTAGGGCATATGTTAGCAGCAGTGTCAGGTGATCAAGAGGAGTATGTTGGGCGGTGGCTCTCATCGTCGATGATGGATATAGAGTGTGGGAGTGAGGTCTCTGCTATCATGATAATTATCATGATGGGACGTTGGTTGGGGAGTCGAAGATGAGGAGTGTGATAATTCATTAATTTTCAGACTAAGTTTGTATACTACGTGACATGAGATGTCTGGTAGCGTGTCGGTATGAGAGTTAATGTCGGTTGGGAGACTGGTCGAGGAATCGGTCAAAGGGATGGGTAGTATGCATGTGGTTCGTTGAGACTGGGTCGGTATGGATTTAATGACGTGGGAGACTGTCGAGTCAGAAAGAGTGCGATAGTGCATTATTTCCAGATTGAGAGTCAGGACTGTGTTGGGATAGTCGGAGTATCCGGCGGTGTGTCGGTCTGAGGCATTCAACACGACTAGGGGCAGTCACGTTGGGAAGTTTTCGAGGATTTTATCTGAGACTCGGGATGGTTGGAGTTGCTTTGTCCCTATCGGGAAGATCATCGAGTGTTCTGTGGTACTTTCCAAGAGTAAGTGTGATGTACCTGGTGAAACAGTCTGTAGAAGAAATGGTTGGTGTGCCAAATGGTGATGGTTCGAGCCCTGAGTGGGGGAGAACCGGGTATTTTATTGAGGATATCAGAGATTTGTTCAACAACGGTTAGAGGATTGGATATGGTGTGCCAAATGACATTCATGAACGTAAATCCTGTGGCTTTACGTGATTAATGAGCTTAGAAGTGCAGATCTAGAATTTGGAGAGGTTCTCTGCCTTGAAAACGACTGAATGAGATATGAGTCCGAATGGACTCGCCGAGTCAAGGAGCCGACTCGACGAGTCGGTGAGGGTTTGTCCCGGTGGGTTTGATTGTGCGATAACTCGGCGAGTTGGGGGTCAACTCGACGAGTTGAGCTGGGCTTTCTTGAGACTTCTGAGGAAACGAGGGGACTCGACGAGTCGGGACAAATATGGACTGTTGACTCGAGTTTGACTTCTGTTGACTTTAGGGTTTGGTCAATATGAGTAATGGAGACCATGGAGGGGTAAAATGGTCTTTTACCCAATTCAAGAGTTAGAGAGAGAAGGATAACATGTGGTTACTTAGAGTCGAGAATCGAGTATTAATTAGAGATATTTACCCTATGTGTTAGGTGGTGGCTAGTTCGAGATTCGAGTTCGAGGATATTTGCTTGCTTGTTCGCAGGGTGAGTCTTCTCACTATACTTTACCTAGAGTGGTGCTTATGTGTGACCGGAGGGTCTTATGTGATTACATTGAGTATTATGTTATCATGCCTTATGTTTTATGCTGTGCATTATGTCTTTGTGATTTATGCTATGCGGAGCTTTACAGACCGGACCAGAGGGTCCAACGAACCATGGGACCGGAGGGTCCCACTGAGACACTTTGACCGGAGGGTCTTACTGTGTTATAGCCTCGAGTGGCTTCAGATTTGTGTGTGGTATTTTGGGGAACTCACTAAGCTTCGTGTTTACCGTGTTATGTGTTATGTGTTTCAGGTTTCTCAGGATCGCGGGAAGGCACCGACTTGATTGTACACATCAGTGAAGGAGTTATGTTTTGAGGATCCTGGAATTGAACCAACAATTATGTAGTTGCGATTTGTAAATTAAATAAATGAGATTTTCGTAAAATGTGTTAAGAGAATTATGCGAATTTAAATGAAATTTTTATTTGAAAATTTACGGTGTTACAAGGTAGAGATTAACCTATTATCACTTGCTTAGAGTATATTAGAGAGTATCTCATGAAGAGGTTATGTGTGGTGCAAAAGGAAATAGATAAGTGTAAAGGACTTCTAACCCCTACTGTAACTACAGTGTTTGAAAAGATTAAGATTGATGCAGCTAAGTATGTGGCTAAATACAATGGGGCAGGAAAGCACCAAGTGGCAAGCACATGGCAAGATCAGTATGTGGTAAACTTGAATGACCAAAGTTGTATTTGTAGGTTTTGGGAGATTACAGGTTTCCCATGTACCATGTTGTTTGTGCTTATGGGACAAAATTGAAAATGGTGAAAATGCCCCCACATGTTGATGAATGGGTCCATCCTTGCTATAGGCTATCAACATGGAAAGCCATGTATTTCAACAAAATTGATCCATTTAATGGACGTTCAATGTGGCCTAAAAGTGACTGCCCATTCACTTTACTTCCACCAAAACATAAAACACGGGTTTGTATTTCAAGTATACCAAATATATAGTATACACGTGAACATGGAATGAATTCAATTTTAACTATAGTATATCAATATGTGTAGGCTGGGAGGCCTAAGAAGAAGAGAAGGAGGGGTGTTGATGAGCCAAACAGCCAAGCTGGTAGATTGAGCAGGAAATATCTGGCAGTCACTTGTTCAAAGTGTCATAAACAAAGGGCACAATTCCAGAACATGTAAAGGGCAGGGAGGCAGTGGTGAAGTTAGAGGGGCTGAAAACTATTTTTAGTAGTTATTAGGATGCTTGTGTTGTAGGTCTTTGAAACTTAAGTCATGTGTACTTGTTTGAAGATGTGTTAAGAACTTGAAAACTTTGCATGTAATGTTTGTGTTGTAGGTCTTTGAAACTTAGTCCATGCTTGTGTTTGTAGGTCTTTATTTGTTTTGAAACTTAGTATGATGGTTGTATTAAGAACTTTAAAACTTTGCATGTAATGGTGTGTATACACATTTTGGTAATGAATTAATTTCCTTTGTGTATTACCCTTCACAGATCAATTAATAACATTGTACATTTCAATTGCAAATCAAAACCATCTTAAAGATGCATTTACAATACACTTAACAATGCATTTCAAAAACATTCAAGAAATTGACAAGCAACTATAACAACTACATTCCATTACCATTACATTACCACTCCATTACACATGAATCGGATACATAAACCAAATACAACAACACCAATTCCAAAACCCCCTACATAAACTGAAAGCAAAAAACCCATATTCGATTAAAATAAAAAAAACCCCTGCAACGGTTACAAACCAAAAACCAAAACTCCATTACCATCCAAACTTTCACAAGATACTTAGAGATTAAAATAAAACCAAAAAAGAACACCCATGAACAAAACAACATCAACTGGTAGTTACACAATTCTGCACTCACAATGGCAACCCTCTCTTCCAATCGGTTCATTGATCTTATCAAACCAGGAATCACCACCAATGCCCTTGCACACATAGGAGGATCAGGCCATCGAAGGAACCCACATCTTGTACAGTTCCAAAATTGTCTTCCAGGGTTACGATCCGTCCATGAAGTGATCTTCATTGCTTCATTCCCACATCTGCAAGTCACCATCTTTGAATCAGAAGCGATTGGGTGTAGTAAAGGGTGCAACGGTCGAGCAACAGTGGAAGGGAGAAGAGAGATGACGATCGCAAATAAAGGTAAAGGGTTTGCCCAAAAATCGGACATGCAATTTCTTTTAAAGAGAGAAGGTTACAACTGAAATGACGAAATTACCCCTACAATATAATATTGAAAAATGAGTTGACGGTGAAATGCTAACGGAGTGAGCCGGAAGGACCAAATGTTAAAAGTTTTGAAACCACAGGGACGATCCGCGAGGTTTTTGTAAATTAGGGACAAAACTTCAGATTTTCGGAAACCACAGAGACAATTTTTGAAGTTTTGTCTAGTTAAATTGAATATAATATATAAGAGAGATTGTAGAGTTTATCTAGAAATGAAGAATAGGAGGATAGATTGTTAATTTCAATCAAATACGTAATTGTATTATATTTGATTATAAATATGAAAAAATGGGAATCAAAGAAAATAGGAAACTAAATAAAGGATTCTTTTGTTTTTACGGTCTTTTTTATTTGTTTATCTAGAAATCTTTTCTTGCATTATGCGCATCATCATAATATTCATAAAGGCATCTTGTGGCTCCTTATTGTTATACACCCACAAGGATCTGTTCTAACTAAAAGGTTGTTTGGTATTGTTTTTTAAAGTTCAAATAATTTCTTAACTTATTAAATTTTTAAAAAGAGTTTTTAAAAAATTATTTAGATTAACTTTTGTAGTTAAAAAAAATCAATAAATTAAAAAGTATTTTGCTATTGTATATATAACACTAAAAATGACTTATTGACTTAGTACTAAAATCATAAATCGTTTTCTCATATCCAAACATTTTATTTATTTAATAGTTTATATTTCGTGGAACTACGGTTACAAAATTAATTAAACTTTCATCGTAAAAACTAAAAATTATTAATTAGTTATTTTAAATAAGCTATTCATTAATATCTTTTTAGTTATATAAAATTATAATCGTCGATTCAAATAAACACATAAAATTATATCACCTTATAATATGTATTAATTTTATTTTATTTTTTATTATAATATTATTAATTTAATTTAAGTAAACTGAAAAATTTTAAATTTAAAATTGGTAATGAATAGAAATACTCTTTTATCGACACCGGAGATCAGAGTTAATAAGTCGTTTAAAAAATAAAAAGCAATCGAAAACACCCGTAGCCCTGCTCAATAGAAGATCTGAAGACGGGCGATTCACGAATCAGGCGATTAAAATATTGGCGGCTTGGCGCTCCCGCGTCCTTCCCCATAGGCCATAGGAGGACGATCCAGTTATCACTTTAGCCGTTCTGGCTTTCTTCCCAGCCGAGCCATTTAATAATCCAATAGCCAACGAAGTCCTTGTTTGATTTGCTTCTCTTATAAACCATAGAGGCTCTACACCAAGACTTGAAGGCTTGAATTGTAATCATACTATCAGGACATTCCAGTTACCGTTCTGAAACTAATTCTGGTTGTGCACTCTAGATGCTTGATGATATGTCTAAGTGAACTTCAGCATCAATATTAGAAGTTTGCGTCAGGTATGAAAGAAAAAATATAACTTCATTTCGTTTTGGTAATTGATAACATCATTTGCTTGCAATGCATGTGTAACAAAGGACATATGCACTCACATTCTTGTGAATTATTGATCTTATCTTGATTGTTTCGTGGATTTTGACCATTACAAATGTGGTTCTTAAAATTGTAACGTTTTAGCTTAGCCTCAAATGCTTAGTCCAATGATATGGATTCGTAGGATTTGGATTTGTCTACTGCTTATTTGGACTGTTTGCAATTACTTAAAAGAGTTCTCTTTTCCCTTTTTTTCCATGCCTGTTTATTTTATTTCAGTTCATATCATTATCAAGATGGGAGAAGAAATGCCAGAAATTGTTGCATTTATGAAGCTGGCATTAGAACAGGTATGCATTTCCCTTGATGGTATAGATTCAGGCTACACAAATTTTGTATTTATCTCATTATCAAAAGTTGATGTAGGCATTGATTTAATTAATCATCCAACACTTAGATCAAACTATCTGTATAATCAAAATTTCCTGCAATTACTTCAATATTATTATATATCAACAAACAACAACCTCTTCTTTTTTCTTTCAGGCTAAAATTGCATTTGACAATCTTGAGGTGCCTGTGGGGTATATCTCTTTTTGTCTATGTTCTCTGGGTTATCAAAGTCTTTGGTACTTTGACCATCATTTGACATATATAAACCAATTTCTTTTTTCATGGAACAGCTGTGTTATTGTTATGGATGGGAAGGTCATATCATGTGGAAGAAATCGGACTAATGAAACAAGAAATGTATACTTCTATAACAATTTTTTTTTTTCTATTTGTAACTCTGTTTAACTTACCATTATGTTAACACTAGCAAATTGGCCTCTAAAATGCAGGCTACAAGACACGCTGAAATGGAAGCTATTGATGTTTTGCTTGAGGAGTGGAAAGAAAAGGGACTTACAAAACATGAAGTTGCTGATATGTTCTCAAAATGCTATCTTTATGTTACATGTGAACCATGTATAATGTGTGCATCTGCCTTATCATTTATTGGTACTCTTATTTAAACTAACACACCATAGGCTGCATTTGTTACACATGACAAAAATAAGACTGGTAGTATTTTTTTATACATGGATGTAGGTATAAAAGAGGTGTACTATGGTTGTTCCAATGATAAATTTGGAGGGTGTGGATCAATATTATCCTTGCATACAAATACAACTACATCCGATAGTGGTGAAGATGTTGGGAGAAAAAGTTACAAATGCACGGGTGGGATAATGGGTGAAGAAGCAGTTTCTCTTTTTAGAAACTTTTATGAACTTGGAAACCCTAATGGTATGTACACATATGTATTCTTAATTACCCATTTACCTTTTGACTCATGTTGTGTCTTTATCAAATAATGTGTCCCCTTTTGTTTTGTGCAGCTCCAAAACCTCATCGCCAGCCCATTCAACAACCATGACATCAAAATGGTGTTTTAGTACTTTTTAAAAAATGCATGTTTCTTGCATCTTGTAACTACTATCTGGTTATTGTTTAATCAAATTGTTACAATAATTTGTGGCATCAGCAACAAGTCATCATTGGATTCAAAATTGTGAAATTTCAAAAATATTGAACAAAAAGATACAGGAACAAATTGAAAGTTGAGTGGTCAAGTTAACAAAAGTGGCCCATGTTCGAGCTTTGTATTCTTTTTTTTTACCAAAAGTGTTTTTTATTTTACATATTTTTTTAGTGTCTCGTAATTATTTGGTCCCAGGCTTCTTGAGAATCTCCAATTCTCTCCTCCCAAAGCGTCTTCTCAGTCTCAAGAAGTAATTGAGTTCATAAACAATAAGGAGAATGCGAAGTTATTTCTGATATCAATGTGAATCGCCTTCTATTTCTGATAATTAATGGGAAGCTGAAGTTAGATTTCTGATAAGCAGGTTAAACGATTTCTGAAGGTCGATTTTCAACCCAACCTTAACCGATGTCTGAATAATTAAATTAAGGGGTTTCAAAGTTTTGATTTCTCATTTCAATTTCTGAAGTTCTTTCTTAATTTTTATTTATGTTCTGATTTCTCAATACCTTAATATGTGTATATGTTGTTAATTCAACGTTTTTTTGAATGACTTGTTATTCCGACATTTGATTCGAATTTCTAAATAGTGTAACCAAAGTATTTGATTCTGATATCTGATCGATATTTGATTCGGGCTCATGTATTTAACTTTTTTGATACTTGTTTCTGTTGTACATATTCTTTCGATTTGATAATAAAATTTTAAGTTGTCAGACACCAACGATTACTTTGTAAGTTTCTCTTTTGTTCTTTGATAATTATTCGAAACTAAAAAAAATTCAAGCTATGTGACTATGATGTGATCCTAGTTCTTTACTTCTTCAAGAATTCAAATATTTTTTGTAAAAGAGTATTTGTAAGTTTTGGTCTGTTTCTTTGTTTTGAAAGATCATACTTTGTTATCAAGAGATGGTGTTCCAATGTTCTTATTGTTGGAAATATTACAGTTGTACCTTATACAGCTGTTAACTGTTGTATTTAAGAGTTGTATATTGGCCTAAATTAGCTCTCTAATTTCCATTATATTAGATGTATTTTAAGACCTTAATTCTGTAATTATAGTAGATTATCTCATTCCTAGTTTAGGCTATTTCTTCCCTGTATATAAACAGTTGTGATGTGAATAAGAAAATGACCGAAAAGTTTTTCATCTTTTGTTTCATGGTATCAGAGACATCCTAGACCTGATCAAACATCTCTCTTTTATTTCCTAAGTTTTTTTTCTCTCTAAACTAAACTATTTATGGCCGGGGGAAACCAATCCGATGTCACAAGCGATTATGCTTCATCTGCAGCAAAATCCACTCTCCTCTCTACTCCTGACCTCGGACATACTCTGCAAATCACCCAACACAAACTAAATGGGTTGAATTTCAGAGAATGGTATCAATCTGTTTTGCTGGTCATCCGAGGGAAAGGGAAAGTAGGCTATCTTACCGGTGAAACTTGTCAACCAAAACAGGACGATGCAGGTTATCAACAATGGGAAGCAGAAAACTCCATTATCATGGCATTACTTATCAACTCCATGGAGGCACAAATCGGCAGAACTTTTTTATTCTACAGCAGTGCCCACGAAATCTGGAAAGGTGTCCAAGATATGTACTCAGATCTTGAAAACACATCTCAGTGTTTCGAGATTCGCTCAATCCTAAGATCCACTCGCCAAGGAACAATGACGGTTACTGAGTATTACAACCGGTTAGTTGATTTATGGCATAATATGGACTTATTCTATTCTATTCCTTGGAAGTGCAGTGATGATGGAATCATATATAACCAAATGCTTGAAAAAGACAGAGTTTTTGATTTTCTTCAAGGACTTAATAAGGATCTTGATGAAGTAAGAGGGCGTATTCTTGGAGTCAAACCGTTGCCTTCGCTTAGAGAAGTTTTTTCTGAAGTTCGTAGAGAAGAAAGCCGACGTAGAGTTATGCTCACATCAAACGAAGGCATTTTTCCGGAAGAACAACCACAAGGATCAGCCCTTATGTCTTCTCATTCTCAAAATCATAAGGCAAACAAGGATGCTCGTCATTGGTGTGAACATTGCAAGAAACCTTTCCATACGAAGGCAACCTGTTGGGAAATACATGGAAAGCCAAAGGATTGGAAGTCACGAAGCCAGCGTAGAGAAACTCCTTTTGCTCATGTAGTCGAGCAAACCCAGCCACTAAGCTCCGACATCAACAAACTCACTCCACAAAAAATGGAGACTCTAAAGTCCCTTCTCCGTGAATTACAATGTTCTGGAGCACCTGAACCAGCCCCTAAAACAGCAACTACGCATCTAGGTAACATAAAAATGTCTCTGTTAACAAAGAAAACAGATTTAGATGACTGGATTGTTGATACAGGTGCCTCTGATCATATGACCAGAGATTGTAGAAACTTAAGCAACTATAGAACATGTGGTGATGAGCCTGGTGTATGTGTGGCAAATGGCACTGTGTTACCGGTTATAGGAATGGGTGATACAAAGTTTCAAGGACTTCACTTAAAATCAGTCCTTCACGTGCCACATTTAAAATATAATCTTCTGTCTGTGAGAATTAACAAAAGATCAAAACTGTCAAGTAATTTTTCTTTGTGATTTTTGTGTATTTCAGGATCTGCGTTCGGGGAAGATGATTGGCAATGCTAAGGTACAACATGGTCTCTACTACCTCACTGGTCATTCTCATTTTCCAACCTCGTGTCTAGCACTATCTGCATCAAGTATCTCAAATTCTGATGTAATCATTTGGCATAAACGGTTAGGACATCCTAGTTTTCAGTATATGAAGCTTTTGTATCCAAACCTCTTCATCAATAAAAATGTTTCTTCATTTAATTGTGAATCATGTATTCTCGCAAAACAAACACGAAGAAACTACCCCATTCATGTATACCAACCCTCAAAACCGTTCCATATTATACATACTGATATTTAGGGTCCTTGTCGTGTCAAGGACCTAAGTGGCAAGAGTTGGTTCATCACCTTCATAGATGACCATACTCGTGTATGTTGGGTCTTTCTTCTAAAAAACAAATCGGATGTTGCGATGTGTTCATAAAATTTCACAAAATGATAAAAAACATATTCCAAAGCAACATTCACATACTTCGAACAGACAATGGGGGGAATATTTCTCTAGTAACATAGGAAGATACCTCTCAGAAAATGGTATTTTACATCAGAGTTCGTGTGCTTCAACTCCCCAGCAAAATAGGATTGCCGAGCGTAAAAATCGACATCTTTTAGAGGTATCACGTTCAATCATGTTCTCTAGTCACGTGCCACAATCTTTTTGGGGAGAATCAATCCTAACTGCTTCCTATCTAATAAACCGACCTCCCTCAAAACCTTTAAAATTCCAAACACCAATCAGTGTTCTTCAAAAAACCTTTCCCGAGTCGAGAGTAATTAATTCTCTTTCTCCAAAAGTTTTTGGGTGTTCAGCATTTGTTCACAATATCAGTCCGAACAGAGGAAAACTTGATCCAAAATCAACAAAATGTGTATTTGTAGGTTACTCATCTACACAAAAAGGGTACAAATGTTTCAACCCCCACACAAAAAGGTTCTCTACATCTTATGATGTCACGTTTCTTGAAAATCAGCCATTTTACTCTTATGATTCCCTTCGGGGGGAGACTTTAAATGAAGAGAATCATTGGGATCCATCTATATCTCTTCCAATGTTGCCTATATCTGAGTCTATATCACCATATATACCCCCGGTGACAGAAAATATCATCCCTGAACCAATTCAAATTTCAGAACCTGTTCAAGGGGAAGAACCATCATTACGTGTCTACTCAAGAAGACCACGTGTAACTCAGCAAAACCAGTCATCAGAACCAACTTTAGATCCTCCACAAGAATTGCAGCAAGAAAAATCCAAAGTGGATGATCCTGATGCTCCTATTGCAATCCGAAATGGGGTAAGATCTTGTACTCAACATCCTATTTCAAAACACTTGTCCTATGAAAGGTTATCTAAAAATCACAGGGCCTTTGTATCTCAGCTTGATGACACCACTATTCCTTCAAACATTCATGAAGCGTTAAAGGATCCAAAGTGGAAGGAAGCAGTCTTTGAAGAATTAAAAGCATTAAATGAAAACAAGACATGGGAAGTTGTTGATATGCCTAAAGGAAAGAAATTAGTAGGTTGTAAATGGATTTTTACTGTGAAAGTTAGCAAGAATGGGATTATTGAGAGATACAAAGCCCGTCTGGTTGCTCGAGGATATACTCAAACATATGGAATCGATTATGAGCAGACATTTGCACCTGTTGCAAAGCTAAATTCTATAAGAGTATTGTTATCCATCACAGCTAATCCTGATTGGGAATTACATCAAATGGATGTATCAAATGCTTTCTTAAACGGTACACTAGAAGAAGAGGTGTACATGAAGCTACCCCCTGGTTTCGAGCACAATGAAAAAACCGGATCAGTATGCAAACTGAAAAAAGCTTTATATGGGTTAAAGCAATCTCCCAGAGCATGGTTTACTCATTTCAGCAAGGTTATGAAGAATTTTGGATATCGCCAAGGACAAGCAGATCACACTCTGTTTGTTAAAGAGTCAAAGAACAAAAAACAATGTATCTTGATTGTATATGTTGATAACATTATAATCACCGGAGATGATGTCGACGAGATCAACAACCTCAAACGGCTACTGCAATCAGAATTCAAAGTCAAGGATCTAGGAAAATTACAATATTTTCTCGGGATGGAAATTGCTAGAAGCAAAGATGGAATCTTCATTTCACAAAGAAAATATATCCTAGACCTCCTACAAGAGACAGGAAAGCTTGGTTGCCGACCAGCAACTACTCCAATGGAAAAGAACTGGAAAGAAAAGTTGACTGAAGAAGACCCTCCAACAAATAGAGAAAGATACCAACGAATAGTGGGAAAACTGATTTATCTATCACTCACTAGGCCGGATATTGCCTATAATGTTAGCCAAGTAAGTCAATTTATGCACGCTCCAACTGTTCGCCATCAAAATGTAGTTGATCAAATCCTAAGATATCTGAAGGGAACACCTGGAAAAGGGATGCTCTATAAAAAAAACCGAGAACCGAAAGATTGAGGGATTTACTGATGCAAATTGGTCAGATAGCAAATCAACACCTGTACCAAGTTTTGGGGAAATGTGGTCACTTGGAGAAGCAAAAAGCAATCAGTCGTGTCAAGAAGTAGTACTGAAGCAGAGTATCGTGCTATTGCACAAGGAATTTGTGAGTTAATATGGTTGGACAGATTATTAATAGAATTGAAAATTGATGTTAATGGTCAACTACACCTCTACAATGATAGTCAACCTGCGATTGCAAATGTTCATAATCCTATACAACATCATCGTATGAAACATGTCCATATTGATAGGAATTTCATCAAGTCGGAGATTGAAAGTGGAAAGATAAAGCTCTCATAAGTTCTCTCAACTGATCAAGAAGCCGATATTCTGACAAAACCACTGTTGAGAATAAGTTTTGAGTCAAATGTATCCAAGTTGGGAATGATTGATATACATTCACCAACTTGAGGGGAGGTGTTGGAAATATTACAGTTATACCTTATACAGCTGTTGACTGCTGTATTTAAGAGTTGTATATTGGCCTAAATTAGCTCTCTAATTTCCATTATATTAGATGTATTTTAAGACCTTAATTCTGTAATTATAGTAGATTATCTATTTCCTAGTTTAGGCTATTTCTTCCCTGTATATAAACAGTTGTGATGTGAATAAGAAAATGACTGAAAAGTTTTTCATCTTTTGTTTCACTTATGTCATTACATAGACAACTATACATGTTTTTACCAAAACAAATCCATTTTGCCCAACTATACATGTTTTTACCAAAAAAGACCATTTTGCCCTTGCAATGTTCTTATGTCATTACATGGACAACTATACATGTTTTTACCAAAACAAATCCATTTTGCCCAACTATACATGTTTTTACCAAAAAAAGTCCATTTTGCCCTTAATTTGCGTTGGAAAGATTTTCCCCAATGATAAGATTGGTGCTGCTCACATATTCTGGTTCTACATCATGTCGTGTTGTGTTGTTTCCCAAAAAACCATTTTGACACTTTTGCCCATGTTTGGTTGGTTTTTCTTTTGACTGTTGTTATTTCATGTTATTTTGGCCTCTATTTTGGCTGATTTAGTTTGTTTGTACTATGTAGTATGTACTCCAACTTCTTGCTTCTTGTTGGTTTGTTTGGTTTTATTTATTTACTTTTGCCGTTAAAAAAAACTTTGTATGGTGTGATAAAAAGACTTGTCAATTTATCACAGTTACATGAAAGCATATGGGAATGTCTTATTTCCAGATATCATAAGCCATATGGAAGGTCTTGTATATTGTATCTATAAAAAAAATTCATTTTGGATCACATTTGTATGTTGGTAAAAGCTACCAAAATAAATGAACTATTAATTGTAGTTATTTGATTATAATTTTTCGTTTTAAAGAGCCTCATGGTTGCAAACAACCTCAATTGTTTGTGTAAGCATGGGTCTGGTTTCATGGGTAGCATTCTTCTCACTTAAAAGATCAAATTTCATTTTAGAAATTACATTTTTGTCCTTGTCCCCCTCCTCCTCCTTATCCTTTTGCTTCTCCTTCATAAAAGTCAACAGGTCATCATCAACAATCTCCGGTTTTTGAGTTAGCAAATTTTGCAAAACATAATGAATTCTCTTACAATCTGTGAAGCAAAACCACTTCCCGTTTGGCAATGCCTATAAAAAATGCACAATAATAAAATATCAACCGGTTTCTTTTACAATGAAAAAAGTATATGATTGCATAATATACCCACCTCCAAATCAGCCATTTTTTGATCCCTTAGACAACAGATATGGTATTCGCTTAATCTCTTTCACACTGAGAATGTCATTAACAATAATAGCAAGTTTCGGCTTTTTGGCTATAACCTCTGGCCTTTTGGGGAGCATCTAAACAATAGCAAGCAAACAAGTGTAACTTAAAAGCAACTAAATAAATAAGTGCAACTCAAATGTTTAGTATAACACCAGTAACACAATAAACTCATATCCCTCCTTTAACACAGGCACACAGCAGCAGTAACACAGCAAACGGATATAAAACATAAACATAGCAAAAACTACAGATCAAAGATTGAAGGACAAAGGTTAGTTGACTAATTAGGACATTTTTGTAATTTATTTTCCTGCATAGGGACCTATTTGTAAATTTCCCAGGCACCATTTCTGTAAAAGCTCATCTTGTGACTTACAGGGACCATTTTTTGCCACTTTCTATTAAACAGTGACATTTTTGTAATTTATTTTTCTGCACAGGGACGTATTCTGTAAATTTCCAGGGGACCATTTCTGTAAAAACAATTCTGCAAAAGAACCTATTGTGACTTATAGGAACCATTTCTGCAACTTTTTCTTACACGGAGACAATTCTGTAATTTATTTCTCTATATTGGGACCTATTTTGTAAATTTACCAGGGACTATTTCTGTAAAAAATCAATTCTACAAAGGGACCGTTTTTTACAGAAATGGTCCACCGGGACTGGGGTTAAACCATAGCAGAGAGCATCACCAACAATATGTATATATCTTGTATGCATACAAATCAAAAATTTTATCAGGCCTAACAATAAGAAACAGAAATTGAAGTATAACAACACAAATTAAACTAGTATAACCAAGTCTCACAGCAGAGAAAATTTTAATAAGGCCTCAGTGCCTCACAATGAGAAACATAATAGCTAGCATACAAACTACCAGGAAAAAAAAAAGCGAAAACAGAATAAGTAATACATACCTAGTGAAGGTAACTCAGATGGAGAAAAAGGTAGCAAGTAGACAAAATAAAAGTCATAAAAGAAAATGGCAGCAGGAGATGGATGGCGAGACCTGTAAGCACAAATTGAAATCAATTGAACGATTAGTAGGCGTCGATCGGAGATTAGTTGAAGGTTAGTAGGTGGCGACGAACTCACTGAAGGTAGATCCGTACCTGAAGTCCGGTCAGTGAGGGCGAAATTAGGTTTTCTGAAAATAGGTTGAAGATGAGGGAAACATGAATATCAGTAAGATTTCACAGGAATTTTCAATTGAGGGATGGTAATTTTCATTTGTAGCGACCATTCCCACGCACCAACCCTATACACATTTCACGACACTTCCTAGGAACCAAATAGTAATTTATTAAGCAATACTTGTGTGATGTGTCACATTTCACCAAAGCATTCTTATGCATCAAATACTTGTACAAATGACTAGATAATTTTTACAATTCAATACAATTGCTTCAAAAATTGTATTTCATTCAATACATTCAGGTTGCATACAACCGCAACAACCATCCACAAAACATGAGGGGTACAGGAACTGAAGTACCATATAAGTCCGTTTTTATCAGAAAATGAGGATGTTACTATGTACATGTAATGAAACAACTTAGACTACGATACAAGAAACAAAGCAGAAAGTACAAGACTGAAGCACAATATGAGTCAATCACGCCCCTTGTATGGAATACATCCGACGACTGTGATTTGAAGGGAGGACAGATTCAGTAAAAGAGCATGTGCATGTTTGTTTGTGTGTGAGTGTGCATGTGCATGTGCATGCGTGTGAGACACGAACTAATCTAAACTATGATTCAGTAAGAGCATGATTGTCACATGATTTGATTATAATTTATTTTTAACTGATTTTATTAATCAGTCATATGCCAGATATCTCAATTGGTGGTTGGTAGATTTGTTTTTTAAACCAAACTTATTTGGTTGGAAGCTACTTTATTTTGACTAAAAAAAATACACAAAAATTACTTTTTTTTCTATACAGATAGAGACCAATCTTGACATCTACCATATACAATCCATTGCGATACATATACATGATCAAATAAGTTATTTACTCCTACTTCTTCAACAAGATAACATCTCCATGATATTTGGTTACCCAAACATTCCTCTCTCATTTGAAATGTCCAAAACACCCATCATCCTGCTGAAGAACAAACACCAACAAACCAAAGTAGCCAAGTTACTGGCATTAAGCATGTCCATGATCATCATCATCATGTTGTCCTAAGTGAACATCATACAATACAAATGTCTGCAGGTAACAGCAATTAGAGAGAAAATGTATAGATATAACCCTAAGGGGGAACCTTATAGAGCCTCCATACACAAAGCAGCAAAAAAGACTCGCGTTTCTGTTGTTTGCAAAACCAGCTCACTTTTTTCTTATTCCACCTGGCAAAAAGTCTGTTCTCCATAACAGATTATAGAAGGCTCAACTGTTACTGATATAATGTATCAAAAGAAAAAAGGTGTGCCTCCTGAGAATGACTCTTCTTTGAAAGGTTTAATAGAAAGAAATAGTAACGTACTTTACCAAATATTTCGATCATAGCAACATACTTCAGAATTATATGAAAAAGGGACAAAAACCAAAAAAGACATGAATTGGAAGAAAATAATAGGTTCATTGATGTAATAAATGAAGTCCTAAATTAAAGTTCACAACACAATTAAGATATAGTCACAGTGAAGTATGTGCAAAGAAGCCCAAATGGCTATACTTTACATAGTCACAAGCAGCAAAGACCTCTAAATAAAGCATATAAGCCGCTTCATTCTTCTGTGTACACAAATATACACCCACCCACCCACAAATAACACCTACTAAACTCATCATCATTAAGTTATCACTTTCTACACAATCTCCCCATGTCGGAATCCATTACTCCCACATTCCATTCCAGGGTCCAAACCACAAGGGGAATCATACCATTTAGGATTCTCAGGGTAGAAACTGTCAACTTGCAAACCAACAAGACTATCTGTTTCTGTTTCATCATGTCTTATGGGTTTTGTAAGTTTGGAATCTTCATCAAATCCATTGCATTTCAGCCATTTTTCGGGTTTACAGGTGTCATCCCAAGATCCAACATCGCCAAGTGTCCGTTCAAAACTGTCGTCATCATCTTCAATCAAATCCGTATCTTTTCCATCTCCATAAATCCTTTGATGTCCACTCCAATCTACCAAATCATTATCAGACATTAGCCCTAATGATTTTGATCCATATTCTCCTATGTTTCTAACTTTGCTTATCACATCAAACAATTCTTGAGACATGGAACTCAAAAGCTCAGGTGGCATTTTGGTAATTTTAGCTTCGAGAAGCCCAACTTCATTCTTTAACTCCTTTACTTGCTGCAAAACCGTATGTTGCATATCGCTATCATCTTTCCCCATGAAGTTTTCATTATCAGTTTCATCACTCATTCCATAAACCAGATCTTGATCGATTAACAATCCGCCTTTATGCCCAACAATTCTATGCATGATTCTTGCATTTCCATCCAATGGACCAGGTTCATGCCCTGAATGAACAGCATAGAGCTTGAAAACAGCCATTCCCTCTTCTTGATATACAAAGGTTTTATCTTTCTCATTGTAATTAGAAATTGGCACAATTGCCCTTATTCGAAACCCACATCCACATCGCTTTGAAGCATAAGGTTCCCTTTTCAAGATTCTTGATTTTTTAGATGATGAAGCGGGTTCCCCTGCTCGATGACATGCGTAATCTTTAACTTCTGCCATGAATGGCTTATATCTAATGTACTTTTGTCTTATACATAAAACAACCTTATGTTTAGTTGCCAATTGTTGCAGTTTACTAGGTACATCTTTTGCTGGGACATCGAATGATTCCGTGTACTCAAATCTACGTCTTTTTGATCGTCCCCCACCAGAGCCGTTTGAATCTGAACAAATAGGACAAGCAGCTACACAAGCCCTAATGTAAGATTCAGGTATCCCGTAGAACTTAGCACCTATTGTCCAAACTTGTTTGATTCTTTCTATGGTTTCTTTCAACCCTAGGTGCTTCAAATCAGCATCACCATGAAAATTCATGACGATTTCTTGCCATTGACTGGTATGTGAAACAAATTGATTATTGGAATTGTTCTTGGAACAAAGGAATTCATTACCGTGTTGGCCTCTATGGACAGTGAGCTTCTCTTGAATTCGCTTCCATGCCGTCAGGTAGGCGGTGTCTTCGTTGCGGTCTTTCCAGACTGACCTCCAGCTAGCGAGAACAGCTTGAGGCGTCGCCGCCTTAATCTCGTCGGGATTCGCGAGACGGCCTTCGAGTATACAACGGATCATCAAGGAGTGAGATTCGATGTTAAATGTGTAAAATTGAGAGGATATGTGAGGCTCTGGGTTAACGTATTCAGGTCTAGGGTTTGTTTTTTGGGAAGAAACGTCGTTATTATTTGTAGCTGGTGGAGCACCGTCTGCTTCGGAGGAGGTGCGGCTGATGGAATCTTCATCATTGTCATCACGAAACAAGTCGAATTCCGACAAGGGAGGTAGACAGAACTCCAGCGGCGGCGGGGGTTCCTCCTCGTGGTGGCTGTGATCCAAAATCAACGGCTCAGGTTCTGCGATCGGATCAAGGTGATGATGAAACAGACCCTCTTCAACTTTGCTTGGATTCATGATCTTTTCGCCTGAAATAATCGAAATTGGAAGAAAAGAAGACTCTGTGGGTTCAGTCTACTCTGACATGAGAGAGGGTTTGAAGAATCCCTCTCTCTTCTTCTCTCTCTCCAAAGAAAAAACAAAACTTTCTCTCTCTAACTTTCACTGTTATTTTAAGGGCTTTGATGAAGTCTTTGTTGGGTTGGTGTTGGATAATTTATATATATCGTGAGATGGGGAAGAAAGTGACGTATTGTTTGACTTTGACCGCATGAAGACATTTTAAGGTTTTGTTGTGTTGTTATTTCAGTGTAATTTTCTTTATTTTTATTTTTATTTTTTTTGGATCAAACACTCGAAGTTCAAAACAATTCTCCATCCTTTAAACTTCTAAAAGATTAATTGTTGATAACGTATCATATTAACGTATTATCTAAAATGAAAATGATAGACCGTTAACATCTCACTTTTCTACATCATTTATATATTATTATAGCGTCATCATTCTACATGATCATCCTTTTTTTTTCTTTCACCTAGGAAATAGTTGTCTCTCACTTTCATTTCATCATGGAGTTATAGTGTACAAACATAAGAAGCGGATAAATCTTGTCGTAGGGGGGATGTTTGTATGGTGAAAAAGGAGGGGCGGTGTTGCCCACAGGTCACCTCATCTCATTGCATCCTATTGTGGAGGAACACCCCTCGGTCTAATACTTCAAGATATAAATGCATTTAACACCTTCAAGATATAAACGCATTTAACAAAGGTGTCGGTGTAACACTCGTTTTTTGTAATATTAGTGGTGTATGAACCCTACAATTGGTAAATCATAATATGGTGAAATTGAAGTTGTAAATGGATGAATCGAAGCTTTTAAAAAACTTATACATGAAGTATGATCATTTTGAAGGAAAGTGGTAAGATATGTCAATAGGTTATGCTTAAGGGACTTGTACGATATGCTATGGTCAAGGGCGATCCTACATGAAGGTTAAGGGTGGCCATGGACACCCTTGGTTTTTGAAAGTTTTATATAGATTATATTACACGTTTTAGATGGATATGTGTCTAATTATTTGATGGATATATGTGGTTAATATTAAAAGAAAAAGAAAAGAATAAAATGCACACCTACAGGTTACACAAAACAAGAAACATAATAATTTTTACAAATTTGATGCTATATTTTAAAAGAAATTTACAAAAATAGTTTAATCCCTTAATTATTTTGTGGAAAATAGCCAAAAAAACCCAAATTACAAAAATAGTCATCAAAATCGCAGATGAACTCAGCCCATCTGCGAGTTTACTTGTCCATCTGTGATTTCCCCTTTTTCAGGGGTATAAAAACGTAATTTTTTTTCTTCTTTCATTTTTCAAACTTTTTTTTGGAGATCTCTCTCTCTCTCTGTAGGCACTATGGACGATTTCATTTTTCAAAGTTTTTGTTGGATAATTCATTTTATTAGAGACGTTTTAAACAAATATTCCAAAGCAATAAGAACTAAATTGATAATTTTTTGCAAAACTTTATATATAATAAGGTTGTTTCATAGTTAAACCCTATCAATTTTGTAGTTGAAAAACAAAAAAAAAAAATCGCGAGTGGGATGAAAATAAATCGCAGATAAACTTAGTTCATCTGCGATTTTAGTCAGAGATGAAGGTATTTATACGGAAAAATCAAAAAAAAAAAAAAAACACATGCGGACGTACAAGTCGCTAAAGCACGACTATGCCTTAACGACCTGTACGTTCGTAGATAGGTTTAATACATCTGCGATTTTCATGGATATATTTGTAATTTGGGTTTTTTTTGGTTATTTTCCACAAAGTAATTAAAATTTTTGGCTATATTTGTAATTTTCTCATATTTTAATTACACAAAAACTAGAATCATAATAATTTTTATAGATTTAATCCATAAATTAATAAGAATATATATATAGGGAAGGGTTATTTGGAAAACAAAAAAACCCTAAAAATGCATAAAAAAAATACTTAGAGATCACAAAAAAAAAATTAATATTTTTATAGAAAAATCGCAGCTTTTTGTATAAAATCGCTGGAAAAAAAATAAAAAATTAATTTTTTTTATAAAAAAAATAAAAAATTAATTTTTTTTTATAAAAAAAATTGGTTTTTTTTTCAAAAAAAATTTCAGCGATTTTATACTAAAAGCTGCGATTTTTTCATAAAAAATTCAAAAAAAAGTTTTGTGATCTCTAAATATTTTTTTTAGGCATTTTTTTGATTTTTAGGGTTTTTTGTTTTCCATAGAACCTAAACCTATATATATATATATATATATATATATATATATATATATATATATATATATAGGTTTAGGTTCTATGGAAAACAAAAAACCCTAAAAATCATAAAAATGCATAAAAAAAATACTTAGAGATCACTAAACTTTTTTTTTAATTTTTTTTATAAAAAATCGCTATTTTTTATTAAAATTCGCTGGAAAAAAAAAAAAATCAATTTTTTTTTATAAAAAAAAAAGTTTTTTTTTCAAATTTTTTTCAGCAAATTTCTTTAAAAACCTGCGCTTTTTTCATAAAAAATGTTAAAAAAAAGTTTTGTGATCTCTAGGTATTTTTTTATGCATTTTTATGATTTTTGGGGTTTTTTGTTTCCAAATAACCCTTCCCTATATATATATATATATATATATATATATATATATATATATATATATATATATATATATATATATATATATATTTTAATATGGACATCAAATAACAATTAACTAAATATTGTTATAGTTTTTTTATCCCTTAAAAGATAAGCATTTAATTTGATTGGTAATTCCGTAATTATACTTATAATTTGTTTTAAAATATCTAGAATCGTTGTTTATTTTGTCTATTACTTATATATGTATCTTTTTTTTTGTATATGATATTACATTTAAAATATGAAAATTGGCCTTTAATAAATATAACATACATATTATTTGTAGTAGTAGTATTTAAATTGTTGTTTATAATTTGGTATTAAGTTGTACTGCACTTGCATTAAATTGCATTATTGACAACCCGACCAAGGATAACCAAAATTTTCGTCTCAATTACTTTGTTACCTTATTTAAGTAGGACATCATTGATTTTGAATTCTAGATTCGCCACCGGCTATGGTATGTAGATTCGATGGTATAAGAGAACAAAAAATTCTTAAATTATGTCTTAATGAGTTAAGATGGGTGAATACATTAAAGGTATGGTGTATTAATGCTAATGTATATGATGAGGATTATGAACTTAATAAGAATGTAAGTTAAGTTCATGAGTATATGGAAGGTGTATTGAGTAATGTTACTCAAGCTATATGTATCCTTGTAACACATTTGGAAAAAAATTTGAAGACGGGAATACAAGCGTTGAAGCCTCAAGTGATCAAACTACTCAACGGTGAGTAATCAATCACACAGTTCCTTTATATGGGACAAATATTATTATACATGTTATATAATATAACTTGGTATATTAAATGTTAATAGTGGACAAGCAGAAGTAATTTAATAGTTGTTCATGAATAGTTATGAATAGTTATAGTTGAATATTACTATCATTATTATACACAAATAGTTATAGTTGAATGTAACTACCGATAACGTACAAGTTGGCAATTGAGATTTTATATATAGTTGGAGAATATAACTATCGTTGGCGTACACAACTAGTTATAGTTGAATATAACCGGAATGTTGTATTAATTTAAAGTTGAGATTGTTATACATGCCATCTTGTATTAATTTAAAGTTGAGATTGCTATACATGATCAGTTATAGCTGATTAGAACTGTAAATACTTAAAATTTATATAGTAACCGAAAATATGTATGATGTATGTCATTGTTGTATATATTGATATTACTCATATTAGATATTATTATTTGTGTTAGTATACTGACATAATTACACACAAAGCTTGCAAAGTTACCTTTTGTTGATTAAACTGCTTTTCAGAGCCAAGTAACATTGATAGAGGTAAGGACACAACTGAGTGATTGAAGACTTATTAGTTCCATATAGCTTTGCTTTTTTGGATGTAAAAATAATTCCAACTATCCAGCTCAATTCCTAGATATATTTTGTTGTATACATTGATAACTACTTGTATATTGTGGTTTAATATAAAGGTATATCTAGTGTTTTGTTGTTTAAAAAGTGAAATTTTTTGGTTGTGCTTTATGTTGAATTACCGGGTGTTATAAGTTATACTAGCGTTGTGGTTTAAGTTAACTAGGTCCTTAAGTGCAGGATACTATACTTGAATCGTGAAAATTGTTAATGATTTCTTATCTTAAGATAGTTGTTGTAGAAGTTAGAATATTAGTTAGTAGGGTAAATGCTAATTTTAAACAAATGATATGTACCAATTATCGAGACGAATGCATCATGTTAAGTTGAACTATTCTGATTATTTTACTTTGAAGATGGTTAATACTCGGAGCATGAAGGGTGGTGGTGGTCCATGATATGTGCATATTTAACTATATATTTCATAGACTATCTTAATACTTTTAACTACAATTATGTTTATTTTGGGACAAAAGGGTACTTATTAAGTTTGAAATATGTTTTGTAGTAGCAAAGACATGCTCGGGATAAAAAGGAAGCAAACGAGGAGCTGGAATCAGGAAAATGTGGGCTAAGGCAAAAAGAAGACAAAGAAGGCTCGAAGACAGAAGACCACGACGTGGCGATATTCCACCACGACGTGGCGACTGGAAGATTCCTGACCAATAAGCTGACTTGGAGAATACGGGATATTCATGAAGACTACGACATGGTGACGGTTAACCACGTCGTGGTGATCATATTTTAGGCAACTATAAGTATTCGATCATTAGGTCGGATGGGGAGACTTCTGTCGAAGGTTCGAGAGAACGCTAGACGTGAGCCGGAATTCACTTGGGAACGCGAAGACCAGATAAATCAAAAGTATCCTCACCTATTTCCATATTCATGACCCTATCTTTCGAAAGAATTTCGGGACGA